ATGTTTAATTTTCTTTCTTTTTTCCTCTACCTGTTTTGTATAATCGAAAAATACTTTTTAATCCCTGAAATGGATTCTTTCTGGTGCATACAAATGCATTTTCAGTGATGACAGGAGGGAAGCAGCTGCAGTGCCGTGGCCAGCGGCTCTGATTTGCAGGGTGTGCAATGAATGGAGCAGCTGTGAGCTCCAGGAGTGGCTCCCAAGCATTGCCCTGGGTTTCCCTGGCACTGTGGGAGGCACAGCCCTCAGCCAGGGGGTGCCCTGGGTTTGGGGCTGCCTTATCTCTGCTGTAACAGGAGATAAATCCCTGGCAACCAGCAGGAATGAAGAGATGCCTGATAGGGAGGTGATTTCCTGAGCCGTGTGGATTCTGATCTGCAGGAGTGGTGGAGCAATTTTTTTCTGATATAAACCAGGGAACAGGTGCCAACCTGTGCTGTTTTAAGTGAAAGAATGAGGATCATGTGTTTATGTTAACAAATCTATCCCCATAATTGCTATTAGAGATTTCATTGTAAGTCTGTAGAAAGGGAACACATGCTAACTATTCTTTTTGGAGGATTAATCTTACATAAAACATTCATTAAAGGAGGCTTTGCTGTATTATTTAAAATGACAACAGGAGACAACAAGCTGAATATTTTGTCATTGATATGACACTTCAGATTCTCCTCCTTATTCATCACTCTGGCACTCAGTTAAATTGCATGCTATCAAAATCTTGTGTTGTGGAAAAAAAAAGCTTAAAAATATATACAATGTGAATTTCAGATTTAATCAGTATTTTACATTATTTGGAAATTTATGGGGTTGTTTCCCTTTTTTTTTGTTTTTTGCATTCCTGCTTATTAAAAAATGACAAGCAGATTGATCAGTGGAAGATACAAGATTGCAGCATATTCTGGGGTGGCATGACATCAATACAGGTTGTTTGTCATTTTCTCTGGTTTTGTTTGAGTGGCATTGCAGTACAGCTGAGTGGGAGAACTGCAGTGAGGAACTTCCTTAGGGAAAGTTGTCCAAAGCAGTCACAGCCTCTTGTAACAAGGTGGGAGTTGCCCCAAAACAGTGAACAGCCCCTGTCCCTTCTATAGATTCATCTCAGTTGGGATAAATTGGGTTGCTGTCCTTTTCCTGCATCATGCCAAGCCCCAGTGCTGCTCTTGTGTGTTCAGTGTGGCTTTCTGAGGTGCTGGAACTCTGAAATGATCTCCCAGAGCCACAGAAAAGGAGGGAAATCTGCTTCAGACAATATCCCACATGTGTCTGGGGCAGGAATATTTATGCTTTCCCAAAAAATCTGAGAACAGAGAATGTGAGGATGATATCAGTGTGTGTGTCATGTATAATTACAGTTATTATTTCATGTTGTTATCTTAAATAAGTAGTAAAATGATGCATCTGTTATAACGTGCTGCAAATTATAAATGTGATATATGTAGTGTGTAAAATTTGTATTTAGGGTTCTCAGGACAGCACCCACAGTTTTTGGCTCCTTGGTTCCAAACCTTCAGCTGACACCTTTTTCAGTGTCCTTTTTCCATTCCTTTTCTTGTGTGGCTCTTGGCTGTAGAATTAACTTGCTTCTCTGTCTCAGACACTTCTCTGCTCCACTCCCATTTATTCATTCTTGATCTTGTTTTGAGGATGAAGAATTTTTAGTGCCATGAGAAATGCATGCATTTTTGTAATCTAATAGGCTTTTTTAAAAATTTATTTAGATGCAAACACTACTCTAGTTTAGAAATCTCCCAGTACTATTTTTGAAGTCAGTTTTGTAATCCTCTTTAAAACTAAAGCAATATTTTGTGTTTGTACAGGGGTCCAGCACACACAAGTTTTTCTGGACTCAGATTGCACTACTCTGTAAAGGATAACACACTGGCAATAGAGCCAGTGTTGCCACTTTGATGGTAAAACTTCCCTCTGGATCCTGCTGTGTACCAGAGTTTTTCACTTTTTAAGTCTTCAAGCCGCCCTAACAACAGCTGAGACATTTTTAATCCACAGGTGCTCCAAAGACAAATTCTGTGCTGACTAAAAATGTCACTGTCACAGTCTGGCTTGGAATACATAAATAGCTCCAGGGATGCATTAGACTTGGGTCAAAATCAGGTGGCTTTTATCAAGTGCTGTCACACTAAGGACCAGATTATTTGAGAATTTAGGTTTGTGTCCAGATTAAAGATTTTTGCTTGAGATAATCAAGTGATGGAGCCAGGTTTATTTTCATGGTGTCATGACACATTGTGGTGTCTTGACAAAATCCCACCTCAATTTCATTTCATTTCAAATTTAGGTAGCATGGCAAGTGATACAGAATGAGTCAGTGGGAAGCTATCAGCCTAAGTGACTGAATTTATTCATGATTTGCTGATTTTCTGATATACAGCAACCTGTTAGAAGGAAAATGCTGCACTTTTTGGTGTATTTAGTGCCATTCCTGTGCTGTCACTTGGAAGAGCTGGTTTTATGTTAAGGCATGTCATTTCAAGTCATTCAAATTGAATGCTTTAAAACCTCATTGTCCAGTGAAAAAAATTACCAAAATATCTTCTTTAAATCCACAGATGATTGCATATAAATATATTTCATAGTTACTTTAACCTAGGAGCGTAGGGTCAGAGCAAAAGGAAATACAGGTGGGGGTTTTTGGAGGGAAGAATATTTTGTGAGATAATGTAGAAGAATTAATAGTTCTGCTTAGCAAGTATGAAAATAATTTGTGTTGAAGGGTGTGAATCTAAGGAGCACAAAAGCTGCAATGAGGGCCTGTGAACCTCTAGAGAAAATTACAGCTTCTGGAAAGTGCAGAGTGCTAAAGGATTCCCCACAGGAAACCAGTGCTGTTCTAACGCTCCATTTGTCCTTCCCTTCAAATGCAAATTATCTGTACAGGTGTTTTAGTTGTTGATTTACCCAGAAAGAGAAATTTCTGATTGAATATGCCATCTCTGAAAGCCAGCTTTACACCCCTGCTTATTGAAAAATGCTATTGTCTGCATCAATTCAGAAATGACTACTTGCTCAAGAGGGTTTTGCACAGTGGAAGATTCTCTAGCATCAGGCTGCAGGTTGTTTACTTCTCTGGGTTTTAGGATTTTCCTTTCATGTGGAGGTGTCAGCCCTGTGACAGTAAGGAAATGATAAAGGGAAGGGAATCTGGGGCATTCGTGTGCTTGAAACTAAAGAGAGTGGGCTGTACAACCAGTCATCATTAGCAAACTGAACTAAAGGAAACATGAATTTTTAAAACCTCTGATCTCTAAGAGCTTAAAAGTGATGTATCTTTTAAGTTTATATTGCAAAACCAGGGTATAACTGATGGGTGCAGATGAAAATAACTGATTTGGGGGCAGATGCACCTCAGCAGCTGAGGCTAAACATTCAGCTAAAAAGAAAGAAGCTGGTTATTCTTCTCACTTGCAAGGGCTTTCCAAAAAGACTTATCAAGGCATCTGGGAATTTACACACACACATACACAAAAAAAAAAAAAGTTGTATTGTGACAACACTATGAAATGTTTTATTAATGTAAGATGTGAACATGAGAGTCAATGCAGAAATAATCACAAATTTTATTAGAGGAAATGAGGGAATATTGATAGGAATTGCAAAAAGACCAGACCAAGCTCTGTGAATGGGCATTATAAGGAACCCAAAACTCTGAGTCAGCATGCTGGAGCAAACACAGAAATGGATAATTCAGTTTTTTAGACTGAAGGTAAACTGTAACAGCTCAGGAGAAATACCTGGCTGAGGCCTGTTGTACATTGTGGACATTTAATAAACACTTCCACTATTAACCAAACTGAACAGAAATGGACAATTGTGGTGGGATAATCAAAATGCCCTTCTATGATTTAGCAGCCCAAGACTGTGTTTGTTTCTCATCCCCTCATCCAAAAAAATCACAAACATAATTTGAGCAGAAGAGAAAAAAAAAAGTGATGTGATGAAAGAGTCTTCTTTTAGGCTTGAAAATATTGGAACTGAGGAAGGGAAATGGTGGACTGAGTGTCACCACTTGGCATAGCTCTGGTTTTCCACAAACCCCAAAAGAGTTGGGCATTCCCAGGAAAAGAAAAGTCTGCCATTTTAAGCCCTTTCACCTCCTTCCTAATCTTATTAACATTCTTTTTCATTAGTTTTTTTGTGTAGAATGGCTGCTTTGGGATATTAATAGTTCTAAGAATTGCTGTGCAGCCTGGCTGGCAGCCTGATTGCCCTCTCGTGTCAAGCACTTAGAGAGGTTTTTGGGTTTTTTTAAGGGTACCAGCAGTGAGATGGCGTTTAAGTTAAGTACACACTTCAAAAGTGTATCTTCACATTTGGATGTCCTTTCAAAAAATAAATGTAATCTCTTGTTCTGCATCAGTTTGGATATGGTGCCTCCCTGGGACTGTGCTGGTTGAGCAAAACATTGATTTGAGTAACACTTGATTTGTGTGTATTTTAAGTATCTACAAAATATACACAATTTTTCATGAATTCAGAGTTTTGCTGGATTATACACACCCAGTGCACACAGCAGATCTAGGAGAATTGTTTTTGTGACACCCCATTTTATCTGTCTCCCATGTTCCTAAGTCAATGAGACTTTTATTCTTTAGAGGAAAATTATGACCCTCAGTTTGTAATTACTCAGACATGGCTTATGAATATTTGGGGTTGGCCTTAATTCAGATACATTCCAAAACATTACATGGCAAGTTTTGCTATTTGGAGATAGCAGGCTCTTCTTTGATCATTTTTTAAGGGAGAATACACCAAAGTGAATGATGTGCATTCAGCTAATCCAGTAAGAACAACAACAAAAAAAAAAAAGTGCATAGAAAATAATTCTTAGGAGTAACACAGGGAATTGTGATATAAAGGAGAATTTTGGAAATATTTAATGTATTCAGCTACTGTGACTAACCTGTGCAGGGCAGCTAGAATTGCAAAAGCCCCACAATATGTGCATAATGCTGATGTGTCTCTTTGCTGTTTTGCAGGCAGACCAGTGATGATTGTAGTTGAATACATGGAGAACGGATCCCTTGACTCCTTCCTGCGGGTGAGGTGCCATTTTCTGATGACATTTGAACCAGAAACCATTCTAGGTTTAAGATTTTGAATCATTTATCATAAATTAATTTCTACATAATGTTATTCATGGATTTCCAGTGAAGAATAGAAGCCTTTTCCCCAGGGTATGTTTCTGAGGTACAGTAATACATTAGAGCACGGCTGGAAAAAAAGAAGATTTAAACTTTAGAATATAATTGATTTCTTCTACAAAAGTAGTTCCTGTATTTAGCAAAATGTATTTCAAATTGTTTTTGTGAAAGAAAAGATGAATTGAAGCATAAATGCCTGGCCTTATGGAAGTGGTTCATTTTTCTCAATCACCTTCAAAAATACTCTGTTATGATTTTTTTGGTTGGTGAAGCGTAGAATATACTCAGTAATTGATTTATAATATTTATGGCTACTTGCATTTAACCAATTGAATTAGAAAACAGTTCATGGGTGAATTGTCCTGGCATTAATTAACCCCCAAAGGACCTTAGTAAACATTAAAGAAGGGCTAAAGAATTAAATTGTATTTAATTCTTTTTAGAAACGTAAAAGGAAAGGATGACCCCCCTCTGTGAGCTAAACTTACCCTAAAAAAGTATCTTTTTTAACAGAACCCCTGGAAATGCTCCAGAGACCCACTGACCTAAGAACCTGTGTGAATAATTTTAATGTCAAGTATCTCAGATTTGTCTTTAAAAAGTAAACACCAGCCCTCAGTAGCCCTCAGTCATTTCCATCCTGCAGAATGTTAAATCTGGGCTTGTGGGGAGTCAGGGGCCTGTGGGTTTGGAAACCTGTTTGAAAGGGTGTCCTAAAGGAGAGACATTCACCAGAGAGCTGTGGAAACACTGGCATGAAAACCTTGGTGATGGTGATTGAAGGCTCCTCTGTGGTAGCAGGAGGAAGGAACTGCTCAGAGGTAAAAAGCGAATAAGCAGGAGGGAAAATGAGCCAGCATTTCAGAAAGCCATGGAGGCAGTACTTGTTGGGAAGGGGGAAAGCCACCAGAGAAGAGCAATTGGAGCAAGGGATACAGCCCTGAGTGCAGCAGAGCCACTGCCACAGATACCTCCAGACCCTGATTCCCTTTACTGTTTGGTTTGGATTATTCCATAGGAATTTTTCTCTGACATTTCTTTGTTGTCCTCCTCACCTACTCTCCCAAATATTTTTTTTTTTCCGTTGTCAAGATACATGACAGATATCTGTTATGTTGTCAGACACATACCTGTGGTTTCCTGTGATAATTTGATGGTTTCTCAAAACCAAGTTATTTTTATGGAGTGTTTGGTATCATCCATGTCTTGGACACTGGGTAGCTTTTAAAAATTACTCCCCTTTCCTGTCTGGCTCATGTCTCTGTCCATCTGCAGACAGGAGCTGCCCCTGATGTGAGCACCTGCAGCTTTCCTGCTCTGTGATTTTTCAGCAGAGCCCCAGGAAGATTTGTCTGGGCCTGAAGCATTGTTCTGTGCATGTGTGTGTGCGTGGAGAATTTCACAGAAGAGAACAGAACCAAGTCCTGAAATAATTCATGAGAGAGAATTGCCTTCCTCTGAACTGCTCTGGTGTGATATCTATATTCCAGGTTTATTTCACATGCATTCATGTATCAGGACAGTTACTACTTATTAGGATACTTTAATAGAAAGTGGCATCAGCAGAATTATGATGTTACTGTGGAGCAATGATTCTCACATTGCATCAGATATATTTGGAAGCAGAACTGCTGGGGGGAAATGTGAGCTAATAATTTCTGCAGCTGTTTTTCATGTATATTATTTTACAGCTTCAATTCATACTTCAGATATGGGTTATTCTTCTAAAAGGCTTTTTAAATGTACTTTAGATAATATTCAACATCCCAAAGCACTGAAGATATATGTCAGCATTTCTGTTTATAATTAGCAGAGCAAATGGCTGCAAAGTAACCTATTTAAAAAGAAATCCAGCTGCTTAATTAATAATAGTTGTTTCCTGCAGATATAAGTCCACATTTTTAAAAGCTTTTGTGAAGATACAAAGCAGCAGAGAGGTTTTATCTTTAGCAATCCTAATGAGAGGCGTCCAGTGACTATAACAAATGTTGTGGGATTTGGAAGGGCTTATCACATAGTCTGTCTTTCTTATTATTTAAAGGAATCAATTGTTCCAGTGCAAAGTGTTTTTACACAGAGGGTAAAAAAAATCTATTTCTCACCTTAAGAAATATTTCTCTGCATACCACAACCAGCAAAAATTCCCCAGCACATCCTTCCATCTGTCTTTCTCCAAAAGCCTGCAAAAATGGGGCAGTCTTACAAATTCAAAGTGAGATTCTGTGGTGACCCACATGAGGGTATTCCAGAGGAAGAATTCCATTTGCCATCACCCTCCCCACAGCTGTGGTGGGATATTTGCTTTCATGCCAGTACAGGTTGTGCCGTGAATCAGAAGCCTCTGCCTACCCTTTAATCTCTCACCCCTAAAATCTAAAAAACCTTTACTCCTTGCTTTAGAGACAGCAGTGCCCACTTTCTGCTATTTGTATGGATTTAACAGCAAGCTCAGCTGAATTATGTCTTCCCCACCCCACAAAATATTCTGTATGCTGGCTGCTAACGTTGAGCTTTTGGGTAAAAAAAAAAATTGGCATGGATTTGCAACATGAAGCTGCTTCAGAGATATTCTGAAGTGGGAAGGCATCAGCTAATTAGAACTAATTTTGTAAGATGATGGTAATTAATTTCAGTGATTGTGCTTCATCAGACATCCTAAATTGCTGGATACATTTGACACTGAATTTTCCTCAGAAATACTGCATTATTTTTGCAATTTTAAAAAACTCAGTTACAAAAGATGAAACTTAGTTTTTTGTAGTGTTGTTTGGGAGTTTTTTATCACATAAGATTGAGACATGTAGGATAATCATCCCAGAAAAGTATACCTGAAATTTGCCATCAATGAAACAATTGTTTGACCAGAAATGAGGTTCATGTGGCTTCATTTCTGGTAACACTTGGAGAGATTTCTCTGAAAAAGGATGTGGGTTTCCAGCTAAGCATTTCCTCAGGGGCTAGAAGCCTCTTCCAGCTTCCAGACAGAGGAAATCTGTGCCTGGAAGGAAAGTGGCTAACCCTTGGGAATTGAGGAGACACAGGTAAAATTTCCTGTTAGCAGCTTCACACACAGATTTTGGATGGGGCTCATTGTCATTGTGTTTTACCTGCCTGTGTCACGGAGATCTCAGCAATCCTTTATTCTGCAGGCATGTGAGGCAAATAATAAAGGCAAGAAGGGTTGAAAGGGCAGCTCTCTGTATCGATAGGAAGATGTTAGTGATTAGACAGGGCAGTTTGCTCAGGTTTGTGGATACAGGCTGCAGAAGAGACCAGAAAGACAGCCAGGAGAGATGCAGAATAACCACGAAGTAGAGAAAAAAAAGCTGAAAACCCACAAAACCTTTTTAGCAAGCAGTTTGGCAGTTTGCCCTGCTGTGGGTTGGAGATGGCTGTTGGACCCAAGCCTTTGAGATGATTGCAATAATTCCTACAAAAGTCCTTTCCCAAAGGTTGTTTTCTCACAATGCTTTTTTTCCCCAATGCACCGTGCCCCACTCAGCCCACTCTCCAAGCCTGTGCCTCACAGATTCATGGAACTATTCAGATTAAAATCTCATGTGCTCCATTTTGTTTTCATTTAAGGGGTCATTCTTGGCTAAAAAAATTTGATTTAGCATCACATGGAGGGGAACAGGTTAGAAGGTGAGGTGGCTGCTTGGGAAGAGGGATTCCTGGAGAGCTCTGAGCTGGCTGAGGTCTGTGCTCACCTCCTCATGCACCAGGCAATTATTTAATCCTTTTCTGGATTTAAACACAGAAAAGGAACATGTCTGGAAGCTGCCTTTTGGAGGAGATTTGGGGTTGGCTACACAGAATCACATGAAATGAACCAAAAAGAGTAATCACCAGAATACTGAACTTCTTTCAGTATTTTTCTGCAGCTGCAGACTACCAGAGTAGTTTCCTGCTCAGTGTCCAAGGTGTGCTGAATAGACAGAGATATTTAGGTTTGAAAGATGCTCCAGTCTTGCCAGTTTTGTGAATCTCAGAGCTGTAAAAGGAAGGGATGTTTTTAGCTGGGTAATCACAGCACCACCTTGCTTCCTTCATTTTTACTATTTGCCGTTGTAATTCTTCTCTTCTACTCAAAACTGGTGCTGATGGATTTCCATTCACTTCAGAAAATTAAAATACTTGTAGAAAAAAGTTAGATTTATATACAGCCAAGCATAGTAAGTGAAAATGCTGCCACACTTGTTGTTTTTTTTCTTTCTAAGAGTCTATAAGAAATAAACTTAATTGCCTTAGAGCACCAGCTGCAGCAGACTGTACAGCAAATGAAAGCCTGGAATTCAGCTTTAATCCCTCAAGGCTGGCCTAGCAGAGGCTAAGATAAGTGTTACTAGACAGAGAAAATATTGTGATATATTGCTGTGTCTTGCAGTAATCGTTATGAAGTTATTCTCAGAGCAGCTTTGCCATCACACTCACCCTTTTTTCAGCTACAGTTTAGATGCTGTGGCAGACACATTTAGCAAGTTTGGGGGGAAAGTGAGAGAAGACAAAAATGAACACTTGCAGCAGATTCTGTGGAACAGTGTTGTAAAGTGTGTGTTGTATATCCATCTAACGTGGCCTCACCAGACAGAGTAGGCTGTGGGGGGAAGAAAGCCAGATGGCCTTCCCTAAGTTTAATGGTTCCTGTTATTATTTATCTGCATTCAGAGAGGCAAAAACATTGGAGCTCATAACTAATATTCCTTCTTTTGCTTTCCCACGCAGTATTCATGGGCACTTGAATTTATTGGAGGCATGTTTCTTTCCTGGCAGGATCAAGGTGGCATTTTGCTTTCAAAAATCAGTCTGTAAAAGAGAAAACATGCACTGGGAACCTGGAAGCTGCTGATACTTTTTTTCTTTTTTTATTTACACTAAAATTGGATTGAGCAATTAGAAATTGAATTTGAAAGATGGCATTACCTTAATAGTGAAATTGTAAGCAGCATGTATTGAAGTGAACTAAGATTGCACTGAGAAGCTCTCACTGATGCTGCAGTGCCAGCATTTGTTCTCAAGCAATGTTTTACCCTCCTAAAAGTATGTATGAAACAACATTTCTGATGCTGTTGTGGGAATTTACTGTAGAAATGCTGGGCGTTTTTAGTATGTAGATCTTTTTACTTAGATATTAAATACCGAAGATATTCTTAGTACTGAGCAGCAAGAAATTTTTCACAAATGGTCTTGTATTTGAGGGCAAAAAAGAATTTGAAAGGTAATGTGGACTCTCTCAGTGTGCTCTTTATGAATTTGTCAAGAATGAGAAATCAGAAGATCAGAACAGAGCCAGTGTCTTTTAAATGAAAGGATTTTGAATGTCTTTTAGAAGAGAGGAGAAAAGAAGCCAAGAAATTACAGGCCAGTCAGCTTAATGTCAACGGCTGTAAGATTTCTGGAACAAATTAAAAAGCAAAGTCTAAGCATCTTAAAGATAACAGCGAGATAAGTGTGAGCCAACATGGATTTGTCAAGAGCTAATTCTGTCAAACAGATCTGGTTTCCTTTTGTAGCAGGGCTCAGGCTTTGTGGCTGTGGGAGAAGCAGTTGATCTCATAAACTTTGGCTTCAGTAAGGCTTTGAAACTCTCCCACATGAGATGTTTGTGAGCAGCTAGAGAAATATGATTTTCATGAAACTTCTGCTGCATCCTGTGTGGAAGGAATGGAATTTGGATAGAAAGAAGTTTGGGGTAGTGGTTCTGCACTCTGTGTAGGATCACTCATTAGCATTTAAAATGAACTAAAGTAATTAGAAATTGAATTAATGGAATCTATTAATAATAATTAAGTCTGCATGGAGCTCTGTCAGCAGTTGAATGAAGAGGAAATATCAGCTGACCTCATTTAGTACCAAAAATATAAACTTTAGTGTGACACACATGATAGCTTGAAGAATGAGTTACACTTCCAAGAAATACCAAGCTGCAATTTGAATTTTGGCAGATTCATCTTGACAAAGTCCCACCATTTACTTTGCACAGTAAAACTGTAACAATAAATGCATAGCAAAAGCTGCATCTTCCACCCAGTGACCAGTAGCAAGTGTCAGTGGTGAATATGATCTAAGTTAGACACAGACACACCATTTTCAGTGCTGTTCTCCATCTAAAATGAAATCTAAATAATCTGCAGTAAAATTCTTAGATTTGTAGTAAATTCTGCACAGAGGATAAAGGCCTAAAATTTTTCTGAGTTATTTGGCACATAAGGAAGTGGATTTTGGAATTGATGGAACTCCAGAAACAATACAGAAAATCCAGTGGCCATGCCTCCAAAAGATTACTGGGTAGTGAAATGGAAAAAAACCTTCTGAAGATGAAAAATTCCACAGGCTTGAAGAAAATCACTAAACTGGGCACTGGGGCTAAAAACTAGAGGGCAGAATGCAATGGGAAAAAGTCTGGATATCCTCCTTCTTCCCCTACATTAACTGAACCTCTTCAGCAGCCCATTATAAGTTAGTGCTCTTGAAAGGTCTGTAACATGAGGAGAATATTTCACTTACATGAGGTTCTTAAAAGCAAACTGTAGCTGACTAAAAATAATTTTTTTCAGGGCATTTTTAAGGACTGCGTAAATGCAAGAGCAGCTACTCAGATATTGCATCTATACCCTGCTGTTGAGAAAAGTTTATTTAGAAAAGCCATCAAAGCTTGATTAAAATTTAATGGGATGATAGGATAAATGTGGTGAGTCCACTGAGGTTTGAATTGCTGCCAGTATTGATTAACACCCTTAACAGCCCAGTGGGAATCTTATCAAAAACATATTTCAAATCTAAGCTGTGGGAATCAGAATAAAGCCCTGGGTAGCAACCATGCTATCAGTCAGATGAGTGTTTTATTTCCCTATATGCCAAGTGAATGAAACAAGATAGAGGAAAGTTGCCAAAGGATTGTACCTGGGGGCTTGCAAAATGCTGAAAATATGAGGTCAGATTCTACCTGCTATAATTTCATCAACCTAGCTGAATTTTCCAAAGGTTAAGTATAGCTCATAGTCTATATCCTGATCAGCTTACATCAAAAAAATTTTGATGTATTGAATGATAAGTTTATAGATTGTAAGGGGATACAGCTGGCATGGAAACTGATGCACAAGTGATTACAAAGAGACTTGATTGAGCAAAGACTGTTCTGCTGACAGTAGAAATGTAGTTGGTCCAACTGCAAGGCTGGCAGTGAAAAAATATAAAACCACGCATGGGAACAGAGAGAGGAGAACAGATGCAGTAGAGAATTCTGAGAAACATACAGAGGGAGGAGGAGGACAGAATAAAATTGCAGCTGGTACGTTAGCAGGTCTGTCATTTCTTGAACAGTGAAGATAAGAAGCTTTAACTTTTTGTGTCAAGGCAGAATCCCAAAAAAACTTGAAAGAATGACGGAGAGAATAGCAAAAGCATGAGATTGTTTTAAAGTCAGGCACTGCAGCTACACTGGTAAGGCAAGTACTGAGACTTGGAAAGAGCAGACAAAAGGTTATGTTTTATGAAAAATCAGCCAAGCATGGTGTAACTTTGAAAGAGCAGAAATTAAAAAAGGAAGGAGTGAATGCTTGCAGTCCAAGAAGACAAAAGGTTAAGGGAGGTGCTACAGATGACTCAGGTTTGTTGAAAAAAATTGAGCTGTTAAGGAGGAGGTAAAATCTAGAGGTTTGAGGGGTTGGTTTAGTTTGGTGCTTTGTTGTGGGAGGTAGAGGGGGCATAAATGGTCATTTTGCAAAACTCAGGTGGCACTTTGTTCCAAATCCTAATTTTACAGTTGGCTGAAAGAAGTAATCCGTACATGGTAAGTGTGAAGAGTACCAACTGTTGGCAACTACCTTTCTAATTTTTTAATCAATAGAACAATCAGAATTATTAAATAAAAGGCAAACCCAGAAATCCCATATGGCCTCATTACAAAAATATTGTCTAGAATTCCTGTCCTTCCTTTACAGGAAGCAGCTTAAAGTAGTTAAGAATGTAATCTTTTGTCCCTCTTTGCTTAATGGCTGGATGGAATGAGTTTATTGAAAATATCTGTCCCTGATACTTTAGGACTCATGGAAGTTGTGTTTTGAGCCTCAGCTGAGTGTCCTCTGCAGGACCAGGTGCTCATCCCTGGCCTTGATGGTGACAGTGAGGGAGGGTGCAGCCTCCTTGGGGAGAGCAGCCTCCACTTTGGAGGAGATTTTAGAGACAGAGAAGCTTTACTACCCTGACACAAAGCACTGACACATTCAAGGGGGAAAAATTGCTCTAAATCAGTTGTAAATAGCTGGTTTTAAAGAGGTGTTATTAAATGTGCTTTCACGGGAGGTGGCTGTGGTGTTTGGCACTGCTCCTTCAATACAAATGTTGCTGAGTAGTATAATAAGGCAGTGAGGTCATCTAGCTGACAAGGTGTGCTTGTATCCTCCTTTTACCATTTTCTTTCTGATTTTTGTTGTAGTCTTTAAATGTTCATATCCTGACTAGCTGTATATAGGCCCCGAGTCATTGAATCATTATGGGAATGCTGAAATACTTTGCTGACCAGGGATAAAGATAAGCATAGTTCAGCCTGTTGCTTTGATGAATCTAATGAATTTGCTGAACTTCCTGTAAGCTTCTCCCCTATAAAAATAACCTTGCTTAAATGCATGAGCTAAGCAATACAAGTGTCCTGAATGCTGATCAGAACTTGTTATTTGTCTGTAGCCCAATGCTAGAAGTGTTGAAAGAGAAAATGGAAAATGTTTGCAGGAGTTGTTTTTGTTTGGCTGTTCCTGTGAACATAAAAAGCCTTGGGTCACTGAATAATCCATGAGAAGCTAAATGTCTGCCAGTTGAGGTCACTATAAAAATATTCCTAAAAGCAGTGTGCTGTGAATGGTAGAGAGGGCAGGTGTAAACAAGGCAGGGAGCCTGCAGTCACATTTCTGTGCAGGTGCCCACTGCCACATAATTCAGGAGCTGTCTGAAGCAGGCATAGAGAAGTGTTAACTTTGATGCTGCAGATGGAGAAACTGAGGCCCAGCCAGGCTGCCCAGCTGGGCAAGCACAGTTAATGGCATAAGTCTTATTTACAGTTGATTTCAGAAGGTATCAAGAAGTTTGATGCATTCATGGGTCTGAGCTTAACCTTAATCTGCCAGGAAAATTTTGGCAAAGCTGAATTCCTGAATTCTACCTCATTTGATCCAGTGTTCAGAGATTAGGTATAAGGCGCACAAGCAGCATGAGCTAAAGACCCAAAATTTTTTTCAGAATATTTTGGGATTTTTTTTTTTTTTACAAAAAAACCCTCCCTAAAAAAATACTGTAAAAGTGAGGTAACAGCAGACAATCAAGGCAGAGACAATAAAAAGGGGGTTCTTTGTTTCCTGAGGCCATAGGTGAAGAAATTTGTGTCCTTTCTCGTTCTTGTACTAAAAATAGCGTTGGGGGAAGGCGTTCATAGTAACCAAGTATGAAAGCAATTAAATGTTGTCAGTAGGAAGGCTGTGAAATGTGAGAAAATGTGGAGGAGAGGGGGAGAAGCTGCACAATGAGAGATGGGATGGGATGCACTGCCAAGCAACTTAAGTCCTTGAAAAAAAACAAGCTTGCAAGTGGGCAGCTTTTGAACGCAATCACAATAAGTTCCTAAAATCCGTGGAGCAGAAGTGTTGTAAATCAGAGCTGAGGTTGGTGTCACTGGGATGAAACAAAGGGAGGTGTCTGAGCTGTGTGTCCCCTTGCAGAAGCACGACGGGCACTTCACGGTGATCCAGCTGGTGGGCATGCTGCGGGGCATCGCCTCGGGCATGAAGTACCTGTCGGACATGGGCTACGTGCACCGGGACCTGGCGGCGCGCAACATCCTGGTCAACAGCAACCTCATGTGCAAGGTCTCCGACTTCGGCCTCTCTCGGGTGCTGGAGGACGACCCCGAGGCTGCCTACACCACAAGCGTGAGTTTCTTATCTGATCTGAGCGGCTGATTGCCTGGTGCCTCTTCTGTTCTCTCGGGTTTCGTGTTGTTGGAATGGCTCCTGAGGTATTAAAAAGTCTTTTTTCGTAGCTCTGCAGTCGAAGAAGAAGTTGGGTCTGTGGTTCTCAAGGTTGTTTGTTTTCTCTTGTCTAATACATTCTTTCTCTGTGGAGGTCTGTCTGGCAGGTCAGGTTGAGGCACACTGACCACCCTCTGGGCAGTGTTAGTTTTTTATACTAAGAACTACGTGTACATTATTTACAGTATTTTCCCAATACCTATCACCTATGTTAGACAGTCTGTCTCTGCTTTAAACCAGTCCAGAAGTGTCACCATCACAGCAGAGGATGGAGGGCAAGAAGAAGAAAAAGAAACACAGGACATGCCCAGATTCCTCCATCTTGCCTCTTGAACCCCCATTCTAAACCCCCAAAATTCTACTTTTTCACCCTGTGATAAATTCACTGTCATTCTATTCAACCCTTGTGGCTTGCAGATCTTCACACAAAGCTGGCAATGTTTCAATGGGTTAAAATCGAAGGCACTGGTGTCTTTGACTCCATGCCAAGGTCTCTGAGCCCTCCAGGGCAGCCAGAGGATTGTCCTGGGTTCTGACAGTATTCCAGTTTCAGATTTGTCTGTGCCACAGGAAGAACAGTTGGAGTTGGCTTTGTTCCCTTCTCAGTCATGGGATTCAGCAAACACAGTGCTAAGGGAAGTTGTTTTGATTTTTGGCTAAGGGTTGTGTTAAGAAACTTTGGCAAAAGTTTATTTTAAGCAAATGTGCAAGTATAAGTGGGAGGCCTTTTTCGTTCTTTGTGGTTTTGTTGGCTGTGGAGGCTCTTTTCCCATGCTGTTTCCTCTTCTGGCAATTTGTGTTCCTTTACAAGGATGTGTTTGTGAAAGAGGGATGGGAGAGGAGAGACTCTTACCAGCTTCACTTTTGGAAGCACGCTGACAATGCAAGCCTGGCATTCATAAATTAGAATTTTAATTTTATTTCACTGAAGTTTATCTTCTAGCAGGACATTTAGGACCTTCTTTGCATGGTTTAAGTCTCAGTTTATGAATACTTAATTCCTTGGAAAATGGGATTTGGGTGAGGGGAGTTGGGGAGGGTTATTTTGGTTTGTGGTGTTGTAGGGGGGTTCCAGTGAAGTGAAAAATTCTTGAACGTGACAAATGACAAGTTCCAATACACCATTTTTCCTGATACCAAACTACATTTCAGATGCAATTATTATCACAACAGTTAATTGCAAGCTGATTTTTTAGTAACTTTCACCTCTATCATTTAAACTGAAACTATTTCAGAGGCAGATTGCATTCTCATTCCTACTCTCACAAAATGTGCAGAATTTGTATATTCCCATGGTAGGGCACAGTGACAGAATTGTAATAGAGAAGATAAATGAACATTAAATAATTTATTTTACCCTTTTTTTTCTATTCCACTTGAAAAAGTGATGTATGGCCAAAACAAGGAACTCATCTAATTTCTCTGTACTGCAGTAAGTATTGTGGTGCATCTACTGAATTCAATTAAGATATTGTAATGGGATTTTAGATCTTATATATTTATATATGTAGAATAATATATTTACTTTTAGTTTAGGCCTAAAATAGAGGTGTTATGATAATTTTGCTGCAACTTCCATTTCTAAGAAGTTCTATACAGAACTGCAAGCTGACTTAGAGGAAAACAAGTCACTTTACAGGGTTTTGTATTGGTTTTAATATGCCAGCTGGGGGGAAAAAAGACCCCAGATTTCACTTTATAGCAAAGATTTCCTTCATTTAGTTCTCAAAACCTGTTTTCCTTCCCACTGCTTCTCAGTAAGAGGTTTGAAAGGAAAGATGAACATGGCTGCAGCTGAGCAGGTTCTCACATGAGCAGGGGCTGGCTGATGGCCCTGGTGAGGAGCTCAGCTGGCACCAAGTGCCCCATGGCAGGAGTCAAGGGACAATCTCAGCTCTGAGCCCAGGATGATGGCCCCAGCTGGTGCCAGGCACTGGGAATGGCCAGGGAAGACACCAAATGAAAATTGGAGGCTTTCAGCTATTATTTATCCTGTAATTTTCTACAGAACAATTGATTTTACAGAATAGTCAGTGCCTGTCCTGGTCATCATGGCTAGAGCTGCTTTTAATCAGGATGTGCTGTGCTGTGAAAAACACAAACAGTGCCATGACATATTCCTTTTTTCCTTTATCTGTGTTGAAAGACTTCCTTGAAATTGTAGAACAGGCTTTGTTGAAATGCTCCCTGTTTTCCTTTCCACCCAAACGTGAGAGCCTGGTGTAGGTGTAGAGCTCAGGAGTGCCTCAGAGCCACTGCTCCGTGCTGCCGAGGCTGCAGCTGGTGCTGGAGTGCCAAATGCTGCTGGGAGGTGCATTTGGAGGAGCAAGCCCAGCAGGAGGGGATGTCACAGGGGCTGGTGGCAGTGGCAGCTCCCCGTGGCAGCCAGGCATCCAAGGGGAATCTGTTTGGACCATGAACCCCACCAAAGATCAAAAAGCTTTGAAACTAAGGTGGGGAAATGCTGTAGGCCATTATGACATGAACAAAAAACTTTGTAAATGGCAAGAGTTCAAAGAGGTATAAGGGAAATGGAAAGCGTTTCTAATCACTTATTCCTTCAGCTTTCCTGTCCTTGCAAGTGTGTCCTCGCACACTGGCTGTTTTAGTCATTGTGGCAGAGCCTGGCCAGTTCTTCCTGTCACCTGTGGTCCTTGGGAAGTGTCCTTCCCTCATTCCTGAGGACAGACTGACAGCTGCAGTCCATCTTGTGTCACACTCACTCTGTATGAGCTGGGGACAGCCAGGTTTCTGTGGGATGCTCTTGCCTTCCATGAGCTCTGTCCTTGGGGTCTTGTTCCCCTTGAGCAAGTCCAGCAGATTTCCCTCTAGGAACGCTCAGCAGGAAGTCAAAAACCCTGTCAGGTTTTAAAAGGACTCAGCACAACTGACCAAAATTGGGCGGGGACACAAAGAAGAAAGGATTTGTCACAATGCCCGGGGAGGACTCAGGGAAGGCTTTCATGGTAGCAGAAGGGACAGGAGGCCCACACTGGGTGCCAAATCCTCCTGCAGCTCTCACTGCCCAGCATTTTGGCACTGACTCTTTTCCCCCTCATGAGCATCTTCCCAGCAGCAGGCCGTGTGTATTCCTGGAGGATCTTCTAGCAACTCTTTAGTTTCCAATATGTGAAAGTTAAACCCTCAGTGTTCTCTCAAAGATTCTGCTGATTTTAGAATTCATGTTTCCCCTCCACAGAGATTTTTATTGATAACAGCCCTGTATCTGTAAATGTAAGAAATCCACAGGGTGGGTCTGCATTTTGAAAAGGAGTATTTTAGCCTCACATCTCTCTGTACAGCACTGTCAGTGCTCAGAGAAAACGGATTATTTGATCTTCCCCTTTTTGTCTTAGTCCTGGTGTCAGGAACTGAAGGGTAGAATTGGATGTTTTCCTTGGAGATTATCTACAATACACTGTAAGCCAAAAATAGACTTTTATATCTATGATGCAGTGGTCAATTACTGTATGAATGTACTTTTTTAGTCTTCCAGCCTATTGAGACAAAGGTTGTAAATATATCTTTGATTAGAGGGTTTTTAGGAAATAAAATACTGATTCCTGTTTGTTACCTGGAATAAAAAAAAATTACAGCAAGATACCATTTTAGAATAGGAAGGAGGAATTAAAAGCCAGGAAAATTTGACTGCACATCTCTGTGTTCCAGATCAATCAGGAAAATATAAAGCAAACTTTGGGATAATTGAGTACTATGTGGGTTTTGCCTTTGGAGACAAAACTTTCATTTTTAGTAATGGTTTCCAAGGCAACACTTAGTCATAAAAGGACATTTCTAGTATATAAACAAGCATTTCTGTCCATACAGAGGACATCTAGGCACTTGCATTACTGCTTTTAGATAGACTGTGCTAGTTGTTGTAGATTCATTTAGTTTAAAACATGGTCAGGGTTCACATGTATTTTAAAAGGAACTACATGGCCCCAAAACAACTCTTTACATATAGCAAAATATTTATAATCAGAACAGAATTTGTGGCACTACTGCAAAAAGGACTAAACTGGTATTTCTCTTACAGGTGACACCTTAATAGTCTGCATTAAATCTGGTTTTTAGCAAGACAAAAAGCTGCTACAAACAGAATTATATGATAAAGAAATGTATTCCAGATTTCTTCTATCAACTTTATTTGTGAATTCATTCTGAATTCATTCATTCAGCCTTACCATATGAAATATTTTCTTCTTTCCATAATAGTAGTTGGAGAATTGATTTATTGCATTGTATTTTCTGAATCACTTTGTAAACTTTATGGGTTTGACTCTTCTCAAGCCAGTTGGGTGAAATAACCCATCCAGGAAGATTTCAGACTTATTAGAGGAGCAAAGATTGATGCCAATAATCTTTATTAATAATACCAAGTAGCAAAACTCTGAGGGAATCAGGATGAGACATTCATATTTTTTTACTTTGTTATATACTTTCCACTTTGCAAGACAATTTCGGATTTCCCTGAGTGGTACACAAGTAACAGGTTTGGGGAGAGAAGGTTTAATCTGCTGAAAGTAAAACAAGATGCAAATGATTTTCCAGTTAATTTGAGATGTTAGCAATAGTTTCTGAACAAACTGTGCTATTGCAGGTTGCGTGGGTATTTGCTTAGGGTTAGAATTAATCATGGACTGTAGAGTAAATTGGTTATTGGCAACCACTGAGAAAAAGAAGCTGCAAAGGTCTGCATTAGCCTGTTTTCTTAAAACCCACTGGTGACCTAAGGTTGAGCATAATTGGTGTCAACCCTTGAGCTCCTTGTGTGACACAGCGTGAAGGGTGAGGAGCACCAGGCTGGTGAGGAGGGGCTGAGGGGGCTCAGCCTGCAGGAAAGGAGGCTCAGGGGGGACCTTGTGGCTCTCTAAACTCCCTGAAAGGAGCCAGGGGGG